ATCAGCAGAATGGCAAGCTGCTCCATACAAATCTATGATCCTATACACAGGGTCAAAAATACTCATTTATATATTTCAGTTTTTTTACACTTTATCCACTACCTATCAGGTTTTCAGAAAGTAAACAAATATACCAAGGGAAGTGATTTTTAGAAAATAGACTCCTGCACAATTGTCAGATTTTTCTTTCACAGTAATGCTAGAAGCACAGCACTGTAGCTTCACAAATTAATATGGATTATAAGGCCACACACTGACTACAGAGCTTGCATTTCCCTGTAGTCCTCATGTCTTAACTATAAAACCCAAACGTGGGGAAACGGACACAAAACTGAGGTTCAAACTCAGTTCATAAGCAGTAAAAGCCCCACAAAGCTTCCTTATTTGACAAGGTAAGAGATAAACAGGATCAGCGTATTTCTGGTCAACAGGAGATTTAATACGGTGAATTCCTGTGTCTTTGTACGTTTGTTCTACAACAGGAAAAAATCAAGAAAGCAAATCTGCCTAAAATGCTCTATCTGCTATTGAGTGCAGTTGCAAGTAAGTCCCTTGAAAGCTGTCCTCTGGAGATGTGAAAAATTTTTTTATGGTAGAAGACAAAAAGCACAAAGTCACAACAGGCTTCCTACCGGCGTAGTTAATTCTGGAGTAGTTATTGGAGTACACGCACTGTTCAGCTTCACCCCACTACCAAGATCAAAGTCACATATTTTCACTGGCGATACCTGAAAACAAGGATAAAATATTAAGAGGTCCAGAGGACAAGGACTAATGCAATATATATCAGAGCACCACGCGGAAAACCCCAAGACAAAACACAAGCTATTCTGTAAGCAGCAGGACTAGTGAAACGCAATCTGCTACAGGTATATTCCACTGCTTGCATGTCCTCAGCATCTGACCTTTCTGTACTAATTATCTAGTTGGCTGGACAAGTGCCAGCACACACCAGGACAGTTTGGGAACCATACTGAGGTGATCGGCCGGACTGTAAATGCTGCCGCTCCATCTGGGAGCTGCATTAGAACAGATGAGATGCTAAGTGGTAATTGCCTTGCCCTCTCTAAGAAAGTTGGCTTTTCAACTCCTAGCCAGATACTCACATTCTTACAGCTCATAGAAGAATTTATCTCACCCAGGCTTTAGTTCTGTTAAATTTAGTTGAAGGTGGCCAGGGGGTTCACAAGTTTCCAAGAAGAGAACTGAGAGTGTGTGAGGACTGTCTTTGGAAACCAGGCTAAAAAATACGCTTCAGAAGGTTAAGATAACAGAGTACCACCTTTTCTGGAGATTCACACAGGATGTTTTCAGGCTTCAGGTCTCTGTGAGCGATACCTAAACAAGAGCAAAAACGTTCATTAGAGAGAATTCTCTCCTGTTTTATTTCACGTTATTTCCCTTTGCTATAATGTGGCCTGGGAAATATTCTATGCCTGAGGTTGCTATACAAAGCCCATCTAACGATAGTGCAAATAACTGCAAATAAATTATGTTAATTAAAAGCAGCTTACTGAGATCACTGACCTATAGGGAAGGTTAGTTGTGTACTCAATTTAGCCAAAGAATGTTTGTGTTCTCTCTGCAGTAAAGGTCCTTCTTTCCACAGATATCGACTGGCACTTTGCAGAACTCCTTCCAATACAGACAATATTTGAGATACCCTTCCCCAAAGAAAACCTCGAGCTCTCAGATGAAAATATCATCCCTTTAACAGTAAGATATTGCTGTGTGCTCTTTGCTGAAAGAAACATTAAAGGGCTTGGTTTGAGCTGCAGAAGAAAAGGCATAAGGAGAACAACCAAATGGCTCTTTCATTCAACTGCTTCCAGAACTAGCAAGCCTGACAGGGAGAGTCAAGGTATCTGTCTACGCAATTCACATGCAAAGGTGGTTCTACATTGTCAAAGCAGTTCTTCAAATGCTTAAACACGCAGTTTCCGGAAATCCTCCATTTAATAAGATCAAACTTAATGAGAAGGCAGAAAACGAGAAGTTAAAAAAAATCAAGTGAACAATTTGGCTGTAATTTAACTGTGCTCTATCCTTGTTTTTAATATGCTCCAAGCACACTTGCTACTACTTCATATTATGATAAAGAAGGTATCCCACCAATCTGTAGGTAAGGGAGTTTTTAACCTTTCTTCTTCAGCACAAACCACAAGACATGACTTAAGAACACAGAACTTGTGGAGAGTGGAGAACAGTGGAGAATCACTCCACTGACTTAAAGGAATCAGAACTTTCAGAATGATGCAGTTTTCCATGCATAAGCAACGTAGAGGGGAAACCCAATAAAGGATTCCACCAAGATCATCCATGACAACATTTACAGCAGGCTTAAACCTCCTAACAGCTATCTCCGATGTGTAATGTGAAAGAGCATTTTTTTAATACTATAGCTTGAATTCAAACGCCTGATTATGTAACATTTTATTTTGCAGTCACACACAGTGCTGAGAAAACAAAACAACTCCACTTAAACACTCCTCCAGTGGATTATTAGTAATAAAGTACATGTATCCCAAGTGGGTATAAGGCAGTATTATCACCTAGCTGACTTTTAAACTACCTCTGGCAAAAGAATTAGTTGTCCTCGTTCAAATTCTTATTTTTGAAAGCAGCTAGCTATAGCATTACCACTGCTAAGCTGCTCAATAAGACTGCTTTAATTTCCAATTTACTTTAGTATTCTGTATGTTACTCACCAATTATGTTCACGTCGCACAGAAAAACCATAAAGAGAACAAGAAATCAAAGGGGATGCTGCTGCAGCCGATTCTGCAGCAATGTCCCCTGTGTACCAGTTCACAGCAAACGACAAGAAAGAAGCTGGATTGCTGCTCTGAAGCCATTTAAATGAAACACTCCCCTTTTGTCTAGGGAAAGGGGAATTACAACTAAAGGTTGAGAGATCACTAGAGAAAGGTATTAGCTGAGTAGATGTTAAGGTTGCTTGAAATGCATTCCTGAGACTTCCAACTATTAAGCAACCTACTACAGCCCCTCTGGAGATATATGTATTTCTCCACGTATTTCTCCACAGATTCCTGTTCCTTATTCTTATTCTCCATAACCCAAAGTCAAAAATCTTCTAAATACAGGTATTCAGAATACAATCTCTGCAGGTATTCAGAATACAATCTCTGAAGCTTTAAGTCATCACATAGCCAGGCTATTCAGGTTACCAAAAATCTTAATCCAAATTAACTTCGCTTCCACATCCAAATTGACTTTTGAAATTACAGTCACAGCAAATGACAAGAATCCTCAGCTTTACCACTTTATTTATTCCTTATGCATTGTTATGTTTTTCTTTTTAACAGTCTCAACCTATCAAGGAACAAATACTGTTAATTCTCACTCCACAAGGATGCAAGCAGTCCTGTGACTTAAAAGCAAAGTCTACAATTAAACTTTTTATTCATGTGGGACCAGTTCCCAACAACGCTGACAGCAAACTTAGGTCTGCTGACCATCTGTAAAACCTGGCTAATCAGAGTAGCAAAACGATGACTGGAGATAATAAGTTCATCATCATTAAAACAAACAAACAAAACAAATCCCAAAAACAAGACCTAGTAATAAGTATATCCTCCAATTACATGCCTTTCTACTCAGAACAGTCACTGCAACAAAACGAAAGCATACATTAGCTAAAGCTGCTTAATCTATGCAGGACCAGAAAATCATGACATAGGAAAGGTTTTAAAGGTATTTAACCACATTCTGCACTCACATATACTCCAGAATAACCAAAACGTGCACACAGATTTTCGGAAATAGAACAAGATTACTGCCAGGTAGAAAAAGGAGCAGGAATACATTTTAAAGTAAAAGGACTTTCCACAGACAGAATTGTTTTAAAAACTGAGAAGATCCCTAACGAAACAAGGACACCTCTAAGCAAGGACTAGGCTTCACTTGTAGGTCTCTGACTCAACGCTGGGGCCCTCAGACTGGAGAGCAGAAGCTCCTGCAAACAAAGAGGTCGCGTAACTAGCAGAAATTCTAGGTAAATACAGAAAAGAATCTCTGTAGATCTGAAAGAGGAGGAAATTAAAAGGAAAATCAGCTCCCATTTGAGTAACCTTTACATGGTAGCTTAGGTAACAAGAACAAGCAAACAGATTCACCTCCAATGTTAATTCTTCCTGGCTGCCAATTTAACTTTTATTCTCTCAAAAGGCTATACCATCTTAGCACAGCTGATTATTAAGGCTACCACATTATTATCCAAAGAATATTACAGAGAAAAAATGGATCAGTCACCTGGCTTTCCTGGAAAAAGAAACGCTAACAAAACTAAGGCTGACTTCTGACTACTTACAAAGAAAATATGCTTCATATCTTAAACACACAGTATCAACCAGTAAAGATGGAGAGAGCCTTCTCTTACCTTTTGTATGAAGAAAATCCAGAGCAGAGGCAATATCTCTCACGACTTTGCTTGCTTCTCGTTCATTAAATTGCTTCCGCTTTTGTATATGGGCCAGGATTGAACCTGTAAGAGTAGCAGGTGAACGAAAACCTTAATATCAAATATAAAATATATAAATAAATATAAACTTTAACATAAAGGCTGCCTGAGCTGAGAAAACGCTCTGTCCATGCAGAGATAAACACGCAAAAGGCAGTACCAGTCTGCAGTAACGAGAAAACTGAATTAAGTGTGAGCAGGGCTAAACGTTTAAAAAGTCACCTGTAACTAAAACTCTGCCCTAATCTTATTATTAACATGTTTACGTGGCAGAAATGGAAGCTTCATAATTCCATGTTCTTATATAAAAATAACTTGCAGAAAATAATGCAGGACTAGTACCAAGTACCACGAAACCACATAGAACATGAGAAATGGGTTGAACAGTCTTTCACAGGACGCAACTTCTGTTAACTGAACAGGGAAATGACAAAGAATAAGGTTCAAATGAGCAGCCTCAATACATAAGCAGAGTAGTACATAATTTTCAACAAACCGTAGCCTTCTAGCTTAAGTAAAGCACGTAAGACAATCACTTAATACTGCCCCAGCATCCTGCTACCAACATGCCTGTATTCCACGCACTGCAAAGAACAGACTTGCAAGTACTACTAGTAAAATTCAAATCTCATCTACGGACGGACGTAGCACTTCAGCAACAACCAGCTTCCTCCAGATCACAAAATGCCATGCCTGCTGTGCAGCTGAATGAACCATACCACATTTTGTGTAATGTGCCAATTGAAATCTGCATCGCAAGTCAATACTCACATTTTTTGTTTCAATACCACCAAAAAAAGAAAGAAGCTAGAGAAGTCTAGCTTTAACTGCATACTACCATTCCGACTCGCATCAAGGTGAGTCTCAGACACTGACTTAAGGCAGAACGTGCCTGAGGTCTGACAAAAGATCATTCAAATACAAACACACTGAAGGATTGACAGTTTGCAGGCAGAGCACCCCCTGGTATCCCTTTAACAAAGGATGAAGGGAGATTTGGTTCCTTATCTTCTCTAAGTTAACTCTGTCACTCTTCTCAAAACATTAAAAAAAGATTTTAAATATATATCTATATATATAATATGTACATATATATACACATATATTGTTCATAGAGATCCAGCCCCACTGAATATCCTGTCCTCTCTCTTCTTACTCAGAGAGGTATGCTTATTAGAGCAATCGTTCAGATCAATCCAGTAAGTAAATGCCATTAGCAATTAGCCCCCAATATAATAAACGCGTTATGCCTCTGGCGATTTCATCTTTATTGTTGAGTTCTAGATGTGCAAGGAAACCTCCCATTCTCTACTGTGTAAGTCCTGTTCTTATAACACCAGCGCTGCTTCCACTGTTCCACAGTTACAGTTCAAACAGGAAAAAGGAAAGATCTTCATTAGGAGAGACAGTCATAAAGAAGAAAGATGGATAAACAGACTGTTCACATATGCTTTGCAATACCATTTCAGATGGCTAAGGGAGGGCCACTTTGGACCAGTTTATCAGATTTCAAACATACAAGTTTTCCCTTGCTGATAACCATATTTTCTAGCTTGCTACAGATTTCTTATGGGCAGAGTTCAAAGGGTTTTCCTGGTATAGCTGTTGTTATTTTCAAAAGGTGTAAAGAACATTTCTTGAATGTTTTCATCCCTGTGGAAAAGCTCTCAGACTTTACAGGAAACAAATCTGAGCCACCTGAAACACTCATTTCACTCAGCAGGCTATGCCAAGGTTTTGAAGGTTTATTTCTGATCACCTTTCTGAATACAGCTGATGTCCTAAACTGTCTCAGACAAGAATTTTATCAGTATCAATGAAAATATGCTGTACATATTTTATATTCAACCCATGCAGAGGAATTCTATAGGCAGAATAACAGGACACTCATGCCACAGTTGTTACCACCTCTTCAGTATTCATCAGAAAGCAAGCATCACATAGCATCTCCTAAAACATATCGGGGGTGGGGAGGAGGGGACTTCTAAATCATGCAAGTTCAGCATAACAAGGTGGATTTTAACACTTTCAGTAATGAAATGCTGTCAGGCAAAGTTATTAAATGGCTTCTGCAAGTCACGGTGGATATATCACAGCTAAAATGGGAGCAGAGCTCCTTCAGTTACCACAGCTACAGGAAGGCAAAGCTGAAAATAGAAAGTGGAAGTTATGATCCAACATTCTGGCTACCAACCCATCCTTGAGACGGAAGTATTAACGTAAGGCTTGCTTTCAAGATAAGTGTTCTAACTTGTGCCAGCCGCACTGCTTATATCAACACCAGAATCTGTAGTGCATCAGAAGCTTACCTGACCCATAGCTTCCATTATTTCTTTGAGAATCATTCAAACTCACATACCTAACACTTCAAACGTTGACGTTCTCAGTGAGAAAACTAGCCTCAGCCCCTCTATCCAAGATGAAAACTGTAAAAACAGTAGCTAAGAAGGGGAAGAAGGTGTGGCATTATCATCCTCACAGGTATACTGACAACCATACAGCTACACTCAAAGAGGGTTAACTACTGGGGAAGCATATGAAGAGGGGAAAAGAGAAAAATGCAGATCACCCCCATCTACCATTATTATAATCCTAGCAGGACTTTAATACAGTACAAGCAGGCTAATTTATCAGAGAAGTCTGTACATTAAGGAAAAGCAGTAGCGTTAGAGGAAAACACAGTGAAACAATGCAGCAATTGTAAGAAAAGGTAAACAAAATCTTTTAATCACTCAAGAAAATCAGTGTCCTCCCCTTAAGAAGTTCTCCTTTCTTTTTCACCTGTACTGAAAGAATTTGCATTTCTCACACATATGGTTTGCTATTGAAAACCTTATTAGATAGGTAAATAGACGGTGTTCTCAGGACAGAAGTATACACCCTGAAAAACTCTGGTTTTGTTTGGAGATGGGTCATACTCTTAACTCATGGTTTGGCACAACAGAAATTAACAAATGCTGTAATTATACACAATGCAGACAAACGTGAGAAAGCCCACAACGGGCATGACGCAGCCTTTTCATTCTCCACATCAGTGTTAAATGCTGGAGACCAGTGACCACACACATTCACTTGACCGGCCCCCAAAAAGCCACAAGCAAGCTGCTTTACAATTAGAGCAAGCTGAGGCAGGAGCGAGACATCTTTTTGCAATAGTTTTCTTGCAATTCACAGGGCAGCTAAGTCAACTGTACACTGAAGGAAGATGCTGCCCATAATATCTAGACGCTGTACTAAGGGCATGCATAATACCTGCCATATTGTATCTCCCCTTCCTCTAAGGGGCTAATGAGTTACTAATATAATCCAAAGCTTCCATCTTAGTAGAGTTGACATTTTCATTGATCAGGTATAAAAAGAAGTTGCAAATGCATGACTGGACCCTTCAGTATGCTATTTTCTTTTCACAGACATGGTAACTGACAAGAATAACCATACTTCAAGCTTTTACTACTTTGCTGCTTCGTTGTCATAAAAATACCTAAGCTTTTCATTTTCTGCTTTAAAAGTGACACAAAGCAGGACCAAGATAACTCAATGCACAAAAGGACAGTTATGGTAGAGTACCTCCTCGTAGCTTCTCAAAGACAAGGTAGTATCTTGTGTCATCTTCAAAAAATTCTATTAACTCCAAAATGTTCCTTTAAAAAAAGAAAAGGGGCGGGGGGAGTAGAAGAAACAAGTACACAGTGTAAGCAGAGCAATGAGGAGTTTCAGTATGGATAATTAGGAAGTGCCAGAAATAACCAAAAATAAAAATGCTAATTAAAGAAGTTGCTTTGGTTGCCTATGGCATTAAAAAAAAAAACATATTTCCAACTCGCACTGAAACTTAGCAGTAGAAACAGACCAAACACCAAAACTCCCAGCAGGCAGGATTGTGAAAGGGTTCTACTACTTCTCAATTGACAGGAAGATAACCGATAATATGTTGCATTTAATAATTTGGAAGAGTGTCTTCGTGCTGAAGGTGAGAACAAAAAAAAAAATTAAATTGGCATTCTTTCTCCCCGGAAGTCACAAGACAAAATACAGAGGGCTTGGAGGAGACAGACATCTGTCAATAGGACTTTAGGATCACCACATCAGTTACCATTTTTAGACTAAATCCTGTTTAGACAGAGTCTTCAGTCTTTGCAGCACAACATAAACGCTGCAGGTCATCACAACAATGTCAAACACAGAAGTCTGAACTTTCTATCCTTATAACACACACAGAAGCTAAATTCTGCATGTGGGTATAAGAGCTTGAGTTTTTAAATCAGCTATGTACTGGTTGAGCATATACTCTTAACCATATACAGAACAAAGATATCTGCTTCTCTATAGTACAACTTAAGCCCATGATTTTGGTAAATAAGCTTGGTTTTAAATCGTCTTTAAGTATTATACTAAAAATTTGTAACAAATACTCAATATGAGATGCACAACTGTACTACAGATAGAGCTGTAGGATATAGTCTACAACTACAGACTAACAGAAACCCCTGAAGTATGCTTTCAGAATTGTCTTAAACTCATCACAGAGCATGCTACCACTAACAGTGTAGGTAGGCTACCTCCTCTTTTCAGTCACAAGTGGCAGCTTTAAAGTTGCTTCATCCTGTGGCTGCGTGAATCCAGCAATGAGACAAATGAGAACTAAATTAGTTTTTGGCCAATGTAAGAGCTCCAGCACAAAAGCAGGAAGCCTTACACAAAGCGGAAGGCAGATCACACAGGAAGGAAAGCAAGAGCAAGACTGTCCCTTCAACAGTAACTGGTAATCTGGTCAATTTTTGCTGATGGTGAAATCACAGGGGTGAATCTCAAAATGTTAACTCATTTGGTTGAGAGCTGTACATCGCTGAAGAGCGTTTGGGCTACGCTGACCTGGCTGCTAATCGAGTTATGTCACATTCCATTTGGAAGCATTTCCTTAAGTTTCACAGATACAAGAAGAAAATCTAGTTCTGAACAGGTTGCAAGTCCTAATTTCAACTGGTGCTAAGATGACTACTGTGAAGTTCCTAATGTAGTCAGAAAGAGGCTTAAAAAAAAGAAGATACTTAAATAAACAAACATGAGAATCTACACTTACTTGTTACCCTGACACTGGTACAGTGTTTCTATTTCCCGAAAAACCCGACTCCGACTGTGCCCGGCATTTTTTTCAATGATCTGTAGAAAGAGAGAGAGTTTGTATTTGAAAAATTACTGCGGGAACCGTGCACATGGCTGTGACTTTGGATAACCATGATTTAGAGATTGAACCTCAGGCATGCTCACTGTAGAGAAAAACTCCACCTTTGTTGGTTTAATTTCTTATCTGTCCATTATTTATGGCGTTAGCAGAGCTCTGGAAGGCATTCAAAGGACAACAGAAGTGAGGAAAGGAAGAGAAGAAAGGAACTAAACCCATGTTACCACAGTTGCTGATCATTTACCACAAGGTTTTTCCTGAGTCATTTTAACTGTGAGATACAGAAAAGGAAACCCTTTTGAGTTCTTATAAAAAATAAATTCGAGTCATATCAAACATCTAATAGCCAAAAAAGAAGAGATTAGTCACTAAACGTTTAAGAAAAGAGCACCAAATCCACTGCAAAATGAGCACTTGGTTCACAGTGCAAAACTTATGGAAATCCAATACTAGAAAGTAATCTACTAAAAACAATACACAGGGAATCTCAGTGCCCCTTCTGCCCTGCCATCAGAGGTCACCTTCCTTCACGCACTCCTCAGACTGAAAGAGGGCAAGGACAAGGGATGTCCACAGAGGCTGACCTTAAGTGACATCTGTGTGAACTGACAGCGTGACATTGCCACAAATACTACCATCTATATCCAGTATCAATTTATTATTTTTACAGCCAGAATTCTCCCGTAAAGAACAGTCAACCATTCACAAATACTAAATGGAACTTGGTGCTTAAATATGTCTAAGACATAAAGCAGCTGCTTCTTCATTCTAGACCTTCAAATTCAAAAAAAATTTTTTTGCAAAGAATATATAAACTCCAGCATCCATAGGACCAAAAATTTTTAAGGGGCTTAAAACTTTGTGCCTATAGTTTTTGCAACAGAATCAAGCATATTCTTACTACTATGATTTGTGCTTGTAATTAACTGGGGACTCAGAATAACCACAAGTCTGTGAAAGGGCCCTACCACTCAATACAATGGTTTTGCAGAAGATTCACCCCTACCAAAAAATAAAAGACAGCTTTCCATGAACTGGTGGCAGTAACTGGTGCTCTCTGAGCCCTGAGCAGCTTTCTCAAAAGTTTGTATTATTTGGTAGGCCATCCTAGATAATGACTCTTCCTTTTCTTTCATAAGGGAAGATAAAAACCGCTAGGACTACATTCCAGTCAGGACATGAGAGGAAAGCAAGCCCTGAGATCTAGCCACCACACTGTCATTTACCATTTGTAAATTCCATCTTTGGCTGACGTCCCAGTTCACTCCAGAGGCACAATACTTATCACAACAAATCTATCAATGGTTATAAGGCAGGCTCATTTCAAGCATCAAGCATTTTCCAAAAGCTCTTGCTATTACCCTCGTCATTAAAGGTTTTCAGATTGCCACTGAGATATGAGAGGGGAGAAGACACGTTATAGATAGAAGTGACACTGCTTTTATTTTATACATACTTTTACTGCATATTCTTTCCCAGTTTGGAGGCTGATAGCACCTTGAACTTTGGCATATGCTCCCTCACCAAGGAGCTCAGCAGTCAGCTTGTACAAGTCTGCCAAAGAAATCCAGCACAAAGGACACATTAGCCAAAGTATTTCAGTGAATAACATCAAGACAACCTATTTATCTGATAAGCATCCCTCACATGACAGCAGCCGAAAAAACTCCCCAGGTAATGAAGATGGGAAATAGATTTATGCAGCATTAGAGAAGACGCATCAGCTTTAATTGTCTCATTTTTCACCTTCCCTCCCTGCAAGCTGTAAGTGAATTTAAAGTAGATTTCATCTCAGCAGCAAAAATACGATTTGCTCATATAGCAAGGATTTTATACCTCAGTGATTGCTAGAATCTCATCCACCTTCCATGTCTTCATTTAAAACCCAGAACTGATTTTCCCCACATGGAAAACATTTCATTTCTCCATGACCAGAACGTGCCTACCAGAGAACACTCACTGCAAGTAGATTTTGTAAGCATAATTGAAACGTTAAGGTTTAAACTTAGCTACCATCTTGATCTGCAATCTGCTATCTGCTTGAAAATGCTACTTCCCCACTAAGAAGTTTTATACCGACGAATTTAGTCCCTCTGAACTGTGTTTTATAGATAACGCTTCACAGATAGTATTTGTGTTTGCATCTATTCAGGCAAAGCATTTTGACATCAGCGCTGTCCCCATTAAAAAAATAAAAAAAAAGTACGACAGGATACAGATTCCATCACTACTAGAAGGAAAAGAAGACGACAACTAAAACACAGGGTATACAGAAAGAGAGAACAGTTAAATTATGATGTTGGCCAAAGAGTAACGTTTAGCTAAGAAAACTGAGAACAGCAGAGAGAAATCAGACCATTATAATTGAGACATTGAAAATTGCCACCAACCTTCAAACTTTCCAGGGACATGATCTGTAGCTCTGGTTCTTTTTTTCTTTTTCTTTTTCCCACAGTCTGCTATGGGGACAGGCTGACTGCTGACCATCTCTGTGTGGCAGAACATAAAGGGGCCTTAACACACAATCAATTGCTTTAGTTAGGAGAAAACAATCACAGGCTTGCATGTTTATGTTAAGCTATCCCAAAGATTTTCTGCTTCTCTTCATCACAGGCTGCCATCTCTCCCCCCAAAATCAGAGGGAGCCTAAAAAGACAATTTGGGTGCTAATTAAAAAAAAAAAAAAACAGGGAAGGTTTGATAAACTGGTGTAAAAACAGAGGAAAATAACTATGTGTCTATTACGACGCCTTCTCACACAGCACACTAAGCCAAAGCATGGGAGTAACCCTGCCAACAATCACCGTGAGCTACCAACAACACAAAACAAGCACAGAAGCATGACAGGATTTTTCAGCCCTCACACGGGTGCTACGCATAGACCTATGCTGCTGTTTTAGAAACATTTTCAAGTCACTCTGCTTAAGAAAATGAGCTCCCAAAACAGAAGGAAAGTGGCGAATGGGAATTCTCCAACACCGCAAGGCAAAGCAAACACAAGAGTTAACAGGTCAGAGCAGCAATCTAGGTCAGTTTATACCTCTAACAGGTCAGTACCATGTTCCGCACAGAACCATGATGCCCTTTCCTACACCGCAGATCAGTGGATAAATTATGTTTCAAAACAAGCAGCGCTTGTGGCCTTTACATATTTTTTTCTGCATGACACACCTGCAGACATTAAAAGACCTTAGTCAGAAGTAACAGCTCACTGAAGCAAGCTAATAAGGCAGAAAAAACGAGAACAAAAAACCAACAAAAAACCCCCAGGCATTTATTCTTAGAGAAGCCCTAACTTACAGCAGTGCATATACCTTCTCTGCCAAGGCTACTTCATACAGCTAGTATATTTCTGAAAAAGTTAAACAATTCCATACTCTGCTCACATGAACACTTCTCTAAGTCCTGTCACATCCTGCCAGGTTGGTGCTAACAGTTAAAAAACTGGCCTCAAAGTCTTTAAGGCTGTAGCAAAGCACTGTAAAGATATTTTACAGCTGTAGGATTTCCAAATAAATTCACATTTAAAGATCTGATACTGCAGAAAAAAGTAAATTCCTAAAAATAGTATAATTATGAAAATACTGGCAATAAAAAAAGAGCAAGCCCTAAAAATAAGAAGTTTTCTAGCGATCCTCCTTTAACAAAGGTCCTTTTAAAATTGCTGGGGAGGTTTTTTTTTGTTTTTGTTTTAACTTTTAAACTTTTTTCTTCCTTTCACTGTTTCTAAAGTGTTCTTAAAATACAGGAGAAGATCTGAGGCAGAAAATATTGCACAGCAATCTACCAATACATAAGACAAAGAAAATGACGAAAAAGTATTTTTCCTGTCAATATCTGTCAGTAATAGCTATTATGAGTGTCACTTAGAACTCACAAGTTGTCTGAAAATTTGAGACAACTGCTACTTTGAAAGCCTTTTCACTTTAACAACACCTCACTGAAACACTTAAAAATGCAGCAACAGCTTCTTTTTAACTCAGACTTACACCCATACAGTTTTAAATTTTAACATAAAGAGAAGGCTAGCCTTTGACAGCAAGCTCCGGATCTCCCTGAGTTCAATCTAATTTGCATTAGAAGTTATTCAGAGTTGGGGACCAGAACAACAAACATGGAGCTGTTTAGACATAGAGCTACTCTGCTTGAAGAAGGTGCTTAATTTCCAGAAGGTGTCAACCAAGTTATTTTAATGACCTGAGCAGCCAACAAGTCATACCTGGACAGGTCCTATGTCATTTGAAATATTACACAGATTCAGGGCTTGTAATAGAGGATCAAAAATAAACAAAAAGACAGGAGATGAATCCTGCCTTTTAGCATAGCTGACACGTTTCTTCACAATCATCTCCTGCACTCTACCAGTTGGCCAGGATATTTACAATCCGGCGTTTCACAGTTCATGACATTATTTCAATTCCCTTTAGTCTGAGTCAATTCCCAAATTACAGAGAACTGCTTCCTTGAAACCAGGAAGTTCACTAGTCATGTATACAGAAGCCAAGTTACTGAAAAGCTAATATTTACAACCTATAGTTTAGATCAAATTTGATAACAGGCATGAAATGTTTGCTATATTAACTTTTTATTACCCTTCTGGTCTGCCATTTCATGTCGTTGTGTATTTCACTTCTCGGTCAAAAGAGCTTTTCCTTTAAAGGTTTCACAGCTTCATTCTCATCATTCACAGCTTCATTCGTTTGTTATAACGAACCAACATTAAGCTTAATTAACAATGGGAATTACAAGAAAACGCCTTCAGCCCAGTCAAATGCTTTAGAGGTTCTACCTCCTTAATAAGTTATTCTTCAAGCTTGCAAAGAAACGCATGTGTTTTTATGACCATACAAACCAAGACAGTGGTGTGCCAAAGAGTTTCTGTTGACCCTCAAAGGCAGTGACCCTCAACCATCCATGCAACGTTGAGGGGTCTCGCATGCCGCAGGACCACCTCGGGTAGCCTGGATACCGTGGGCTCTCAGGAGACTCACCCTGGCAGATGGAAAGCTCAGAGACAGGATGAACTGCTCCCGAGGGAAACGGCCCATGCACACATCAGGTCCAAGAGAAACATTCCACTCTGTCATTTAAAGGTCATTGTACAGCACAATTCAAACTGTTGAATCCCTGCTTCCGCCAAACCAGCCGGTCCACCCACCTTGTAGTGGGCTGGAAGTCTGACAAAAGCTGAAGAAACAAGGAACAGATCAAGTTCTGGTCTGTCCTCCTCTTATAGTCAGGTGAGGATTATTGCCCACAGGATAACATAACTCAGCAAAGTCTGTAACGCAAGCAAAAGAGAGCAAGTTCCTGTTTTAACTGCAGTCTTGCTGGAGTCCTGCATTTTACTATCATTGCAATTCAGTACTGAAGCTTACTATCATTGCAATTCAGTACTGAAGCTTACTATCATTGCAATTCAGTACTGAAGCTTACTATCATTGCAATTCAGTACTGAAGCTTACTATCATTGCAATTCAGTACTGAAGCTTACTATCATTGCAATTCCCTACTGCTATTCTGGCATCTACATCTATTTTCAAAAGGATGAAAAACAGTACTTATCATAAAAACCTCACAAATACTGAAAAGTGAACAAGAACAATTACCACAAGTTTCACCGTATCCCAATCTTAAAAAAAATTTCCCCTTTCATCTGGCTTCCTAAGACTCTACACACAAACCTGCCAAAATCAGCTATCCGAAAGCAAGCCCCTTTCATTTGAATGTGTTTTCCCAAAGGAAAACAGGGATATATTTAAAAAATACATAAGCACACACATATCTGGGGAGCACCTGGAGAACACAGTACAGATATCTTTTTCTGTTAAGAAGCAGATACCTTGTTTGTGCATTTGAGTTCAGTGGAAGAAAGCAGTTTAAGCAGAGATTTCGAGTACCACCATCTCCTTCAAAACCAGGTCTTGCCTTAGCAAGGTTGTTCTGTAACTGAAGAGTAACAAAAAAACCAAAACTGCAAACAAAAAACCCAAAACCCTATTTACATTCAGAAATCATATAAATGTGGCTATATACATTAGGGTAGTGCCCAGAGTCTCAAGAATTCTCAAGAAGTTGTTGTATTGGGCTTCATGTGAACATACAGCAAGAGCGTGTCTCTGCATTAAAGATTTTATAACCCACAAACACAGAAGGCAGAAGACAGCAAGATTCCTGGAGCTCCTTCCATTTCAATGGAAGAGCAGCCCTCTTCCTTACATTCTTGCAAAGACAAAAGAGGGATGTCTAGTGTTTATTAGTACTCATTGTTTTAACACTGGAAAATTGTAATGAGTTTAGGAATAAAATACCGAATTATTCTTTATGGACAAGAAGAATCACACACCTACCCTAGATCAATTGGCTCTCAAGACACAGAGCGCTACAACTACAGTCAGAACAGTCTCTGTGGTGACCAAGTTAAAACAGATCTTGAAACCGGTCCTGATGGCAGCTGAACAGACTCAGACAGACCAGGAGCATAAGTAAGCATCTTCCACAGCTGGAAATTTTCTACTGAGAACAGGTACCACCAGTACTGAATTCACTCCTAGCAAGCAGCAATTAACAGTGATATTCAGATAAGACCAGCTATTACAGTAAGAAAAGGAGAATCATGACACTCAAATAAAACCTGTGAGGATTCACATAGGATAGCCACAACCCTGAATCTGACAGGGGAAATGAACTCAAAGCTGACGTGCCAGTACAGGATGTTTCAGATCACCGAGGTGGTACCTGAACAAGTGCAACTACAGAAACATTACTGTCCCACAGACACTGCCAAAGCAGAGAATTTTTTTATTCAGATTGAATAAAAGCCCAGAGATCTCTGGTGTGGCTTCTCTGAGATTTGAGAACACTATTTTTGACTAACTGAACAACAACAGACTAGTGCGCACATTCTGAAGAGCCTCCAACTTCTCTCCCTTGATTTACACTTATTTTCAAAGCCAGTGTATGTAAGTCCAACCAGCTACAGACAGATTCAATGAAACTGGCGTGAGTAAGTCCCTAGATTTCACAAGTACGACATACCTATGACTCTCAGGCTTCAAACGGAAATGCGTGTGCAGAAAATCCTAAAAAAACTTAAGCCACTACAAAGTTTCAGACATCCAGAGCTTTAGACAAAAAAATAAAATGGAAATAGACTTCAGTCTCAACTTCCTCCCAACTAAGGTGCTCACATCATCCTTGGACCCTCCCTTCTTCACGTAGTACTTTGCATTATGCAGATGTGGCTCACAATGAAACAGAAGTCACTTAGCAGGTGCCAATCCTGCTGAGACCTGCTAGTTGCAGGAAGCTCACCAAAACCAAACAAACAAAATCAAAGCAACCTTTGTAAAGTAACTGCACAGTGATTAATTACGGGTCAAGAGATACACCAGCTTGAAGAGGGGGAAAAAAAAAAAAAGCCCCATTCTTTAGGATAGCCCTATGTCAAATCCAGAGGCTGATTATTTTAACACTGCTCTATAGCGCATTAAAATTTGAAATGAATACTCTTTCTCAAGAAGTGAATGTTCTTACAGGTCATTCATTTTTACAGTAACTTGCCATAATTCTTTCTCAGCTGTAAAAGCTAACTTCTTACCCCATCTACAAGAAAACTTCTAGTATCATTTCTCAATCTGAATTATTCATGGAGAAGGAGGAACTTTAAAACGTTCAGACATCTTCCCAGTAAAATGCAAGAGTAGTAACATTTTAAATGAACGTTCAGAAGTCCATAGGAAGCATCGGTGACCTGATTTCATGAAAGAGCAACTTTGAGAAAAATTCTCAATTTTGCCATCTCAAAGGCATTCACGGAACCTACACGTTCTAATAGCTGACACTATCCTTCTAAAATCCTTCACTATACAGAACACAAAGGTTATAGCAGCCTTTTTCCTTCCATCTGTACTTCTCTTTTTTATTCCCTTCTGTCACACTTTTAGAAGATCAGAGTCACCGTATCTTTTTCTGCGTACGCAAGTTTCAGGCTGTAACACTCTGCACTCTCAGCTAGCCACTTCCCTTGCAGATTAAGCATGGGGCTTCTGAGTCAGACCCTCCAGCAATGGGTGGATCTCACTCTGCAGTATAACACACAGTTATTTCAAAGAGATTCCCACCTCAATTTATTACTTCACCGTGATTACTACTGGAGAACCAGGGAGAACATTAATGCAGTGGAGAGCACTGAGCATTCCCTTCATTTCCCCCTCCTGTTGGGAGAAAATAGCATATTTTAGCACACATGCTTTAGACAGCAGTTCTGCTGAGATCTGCCTATGTTTACAGACACACATGCATTTCTTTAAACACATTAGTTGGCATTCAAAATAACAGCAAGAGAAATGTTACCCTCCACACTAGAAAGATACAAAGGCAAACAAAGCAAGTGAGCTGACCCTGAGGTGAGTTAAACAGCAAGGATAACAAGCCAGACTGGAGGTGGCTTAAAAATACACGGCAATTTTTTCAATTTCTTGGTCTAGGATAAAGTGGGAATGCCTCTGAGGCAGCTGCATGAATAAGAGGACATAATAGGATGTTATATTTCACCAGGCTAGCAAACAAAACAAAAATGCCAAGCCCTGCCTAGGACAATAAGGCATACAACCTGGTTAGAGCAATGAAAATCATCTCCTTTCCTTGCACATACAGCAGTACAGCTAAGCAAGATATTTAATACCACTGACCACTGCCAGACAATTCATATTCAAGAACTTCTGTCACACTGCAGTAGGAACTCAGCTGCAAAATTATTTTAAACTCGGATCATATATGTTCTAAAAGAAAAAAACAATCCTTGTAATAGTACTTTGACTCAACTACTCAGAGTTTCTCTAACCCCCTAGAACAGTTTTAAATTAAGAAAGCATACAGGGCAAATAAATTCTGAGGACCGCTTACGAAATAGTAAGCTGCTTACCCTCTTCCACACCTGATGGCATCAAGAACTCTCACAAGACACTCTGCATCGCCGATCAGCTTCTCTAGCCCCAGCTGGCTCCCTTGCTACTTTTCAAGCATAAACCAAAGAGAAAAACTTCTTAGAAGATAACTGTTCACTTAACACAGCTACAAGATTAGCATTTCCTGCTGTACCTCAGCTCCCCACAGATGATCAGATAATGACATTTCCCACTAGAAATAAGGCTACACAACATATGTCCATATTAGTAAACAGTCTTGTTTCAAGAGGTTAACCTAAACAAAGTGTTTTAAAAGTATGAAGCAAGACTGATTTTCATTCCTTTTTTCCTTCCTCTGTACTCTCAGCTCTAAAATTAATGTCCTTATTAACACCCTTATCCAATGAATTTTCAGATTTGATGCCATATAGATTTTGTATCTGTGTTTTGACACCTTGTTACCAGAAAGGTACTGAAACACAAGAGCAAATTCGTTACAGTACTGAACAGATTTCTGAAAGCACTAAGGAATTCTTATAGAACATTCATATCAGAAAAAAAAAAGTCACGATTGACAATACTCTAAAAGACTTTCAGGTGTTCAAGGCACCCAAACCTGCTTTACCTGGAAGCTTGCCAACAGCAAGACTAAATACTTTAGACCTGTAGTGAAAGATCTTCAGCTCCGCAAACGTATTTTTGCCTTACTTCCATCCAGCACCTAGAAGGCATAAAAAGAGCTTTGTTCTGAAAAAAGGCCAAACTATACTCTTCCAAAGTTATCAGAAAACGTGCCAGTCTTTTTGAACTAGCTGTGTGGCATAAATCTGAGGGGGGTGGGGGGAAACGCTTTTATGACCAAATCTTACAAAAATATGAAGGGAAAAAATGTTAACCAGGGGCGTATTTTTAAACAAATCCACCTGGCACTTGGCACAAAAGTGCCAACAGCGTCAGGGGAACGGGCTGATTTTTGGCTAGCATACAAACCCCCAGAGCGGCAGCAGGGCTGTCGCCAGGGCCACGTTACGGTCTTGCATTTACTTCTGTTCCCTTTGACTTGCTTCAGA